GATGCAAACAGCAGGGAGCAACTCTCTCCTCGCTCAAAGATCGAACCGGGAAACCAACACTTCCTACAGACCGGAACTGCAATAAACCCTTAGCTTACCTCCTCATCCATGCTGGTTTTTTCCATCACTCCGTTTCGACGCCAACAGGACCGCGGCATGGCCCACCTGTGTGCGACCTTTCAAAAGGCGGGAACGACCGAGCTCATCAGCTCCAGCGGCGGAAACGCCGGGCTGGCAGTCGCCACTGTGGGGGGCCGCCTGGGCCTCGATGTCTCGGTGATCGTTCCGGAAACGACCAAGCCCCTGGTCGTTGCCAAGCTGGAGAGCCTTGGGGCGAAGGTCACCATCCACGGCGTCAACTGGAACGCGGCAGACGGGCTGGCGAGGGAACGGGTCGACGCCAAGCCCGTCGGTGCCGCCGAATACGTCAGCCCCTACGACAATCCCCTGCTGTGGACGGGCCACAGCACCCTCGTGGACGAAATCGCCGATCAGCTGGAGGACGAGGGTGGACTCTCGCCGGGTGCCATCGTCGTGTCGGTGGGTGGCGGGGGACTGCTCTGYGGCGTCCTGGAGGGGTGCGCCCGGAGGAAGCTTTCCACGAAGGTCATTGCATCGGAAACCGATGGAGCGTCGTGCTTTAAGCAGTCGTGGGAGGACGGGACCCCGGTGACGCTCCCGGGGATCGATTCCATCGCCACTTCCCTCGGCGCAACCTCGTGCACGCCMGTGGCCCTGGAACGGGCACGGTCCCACGACGGGGGCTTTGATGCCCTGGCGTGCACCGACCGCGAAGCCGTCGATGCTTGTGTGAGGTTTGCCCGGGACCACCGGATGCTGGTGGAACCCGCGTGCGGAGCGGCCCTGGCGGTGGCCTACAGCGAGCGGCTGAGGGACAAATACCTCGGCRACGTGGACGGCCCGGTCGTCATCGAGGTCTGCGGAGGATCCGGCGTCGACATCGACTTGATGCAAGGGTGGAAGAACGACTATCTCGACTGACCGAATGGACACAGCGGAGGCAATGGAAGCAACAGTGCTCCGGGCAGAATAAGGTTTCGAGTTTCGAAYCGCACACAAAGAAGTAGAGACAGGCGGCATGGAGATTTGCACGAAATGCACGAATAATTYTTTTGCATGAAATGGCATGCCGCAAAACTGTACAATAATGTTGGTTACGGGATCCACTTACGGATCAGACTTTTCCATCATCGCCACATGGAACAATCGCCACAGCATGGATTTTTGCAGTTCCTCTTTGCTCCATYCCGAAAATAGTCTTTTGTAGCTCTCGAGTTGACATATTGCTGTATCAACAATGTGCGGTTGYCGCTGTTGGTATAATTCGTWTCGTATCGATATTTAGCAAACTCGTACAAGGCATCGTCCAAGACTGTCATCCAGGGATCGTACGCCAGGTTGCTGTCTGCCATCATTTCCGCAAGGCTCTTCTTATYCTTGCCGTCTCCGACATCGATTCCTTTGTTTTTGCGAGAAATCTTTCTGCCTGTCTTCCAGCCAACATATCCCGAAAAATTGTAGTAGGATTCAGCCATATTTTCGAGAAAGAGTATGTGAGAAAACCGAGACAAGCGTTCCAATGTATACTCAAAGAGCTCCGACGTCAATTGAAACTTTGGAACATTCGAACACTTGGATCCRCAGATCATTCGTGTATTATAATTGTCGACTTGATGCTCCCACCAAGCCGAAAAATTCCCAACAAAGTAGCGATCGCCTTGGCGAACGAAGTAATACTTCTCGTTGATGTCGTTAAGGTTGATATCCTTCAGTCGAATTTCTGGGGCAGGTGGCTTGGCAAGGAGTCCCTGGTGTGTACGACTCCCTTTTTGGTAGTTGAGGTTTTTAAATCGTGYGAATAACTCAGACGCGGTCTGCAGTGTTCTTTGATCCCGCGAGAGCATCCTTCCCGCTACTGGTATCTTCTTCCCGGTTGAGTTGTTCTTGCTTTYGTTGCGTTTGGGGCTGTACTTTCGATTGTATTGCGCAGTGCGTCGAACGTGATTCCAATGAGACAAGTATCGCATCGCCGAATCTCTCAGAGTGACGACRTAATCGTAGTAGTCCGTAGCCATAGCGTCGTACATTTCTCTCTCGCACGCCACAAAATCGTACACGGTTCTTTTCGCAAAACGAATTTGAGCCTCGAGGGAATCTTCGTGTCCGCAGCAGTGCTGATCTTTTTGGACGTTGCAGTTGGCTTTCGCWTCTACCGTCAAATTCTGCAGCATGGCTTGTTTGCACATTGTTGTTCCGCCCGATTTGTGAATGTGCAAGTAGTATATAACTTTGCCAGTGGATTTGCGTCTCCTCGGTCTTCTTTTGAAATTTGGTTGGCGTTGAGGTCGGTTGATTTTTGTCACTTTCCGTTGTTCGCTTTTGGGGATAGCGTTTTTTGTGCTTTTTGCCATGAATCTGAATAGTGTCCACTGGGCCAAAAGTAAGAGCAATACAGCTACAATCCATCGTGCTTGGCGTTTTCGGATCGGCATTGCTAAAGGATGAGCAACGATATAATTTYTCAGTTCTGTTCTATTCAAATCGTACTCTCTCTGTAAGAATGCCACTGCTGTGTGTTCATACTTTGACGGCGGATGGGAAATGCAGGTCGTCGAAGATTGATCCTCTTTGCAACTCAGAGAAGCAAAATCATCATGCGTTTCTTTATGTTCAGTGGTTGGTGTTGGTGTTTCGGATGCACATTCCGTGTATTACGGTGTCCGCTACAGCATCCGCAAGTTACCGGTACGAACTTGCATTTTTTCTTGACGGTACTATCAACAATAATTTTTATTTTTAGCACTCTCGTAGTGTCGTAACTTCAAACTTCGTTCCGTGAATATTGTCTTTTCGTCTTTTCGCTCCAGTTCACAGGTAATTAGTGCTGCCAGTGGAAGTCGAATTGTTGTCATCGTCATCCAGTGGCATAAAATGTATTTTGTGGAAGAAACTGTTGAGTTCATGTACATTACGTCATCCAGACAGTTAAGTACAGAAAGTCTAAAAGGGTTCTCTTCCACTGTTGACTAGATAAAACTATAAAGAATGAGAACATTGCTCACTTATACTAAAATCATTYGGTTCCTCATTCTGGTTCTCTTACATAAACACTCCAGTGGTCGCTCGCTTGTTCTCGCTAAATACATTCATATATGCATAACTGTAAAAACGCATATGTCGCCTGGGACCGTTAAGTCGCCAGTTCGCCTCGTCTGTCCGCCGTCTCGTCTGTCCGCCGTATGGCCCCTTGGTGTTCTTTCGCTCAACACACTCCTGTGAGCTCATCAAGCAGCAGCGCTAGCAGTCATAACAGGGGACAGCCGGTGCTGTGGTAGGCGTTGGTCATTCATTTGCTGCTTGGTGAGATCATCTGCGGCTGCCTTCAGTCCTCTGTCTCTCTTTCTGGCTTCGATCTCGGCTCTGGCCTTGCGGTTGTGTTCAGTGACATTGTGCTCGTGGATTCCGAGGATGAGATTCCTGAACCGTCGAAACTGACTCCCCTGCAGTGGCTTCGTGAAATAGTCTGCAATCATATCGAGTGTGGGACAATACTCTACACTCAGTTCATTCGCGGCCACTCGGTCAGTCACGAAGAAATATCGGATATTCATGTGCCTGGTCCGTTTGCTGCTGGATCTCTTCCCGTGTTTCTCAAGTTTTATGGCACTCTGATTGTCTTGGTACACGATGTTGTCCTTCACGGGGAATCCCTGTGCTTCCAGGAAATATCTTGTCCAGATAACCTGAGTTACCTCGTCATCGACGCCGACTAACTCCGCTTCTGTTGAGCTTCGGGTGTTCAGCTTCTGTTTCGATGATGATGAAGTGACGGCTCCCTGTCCCATAGTCATGGTCATGCCAGTATGGCTCTTCATGTCATTGTGCACTGCAAATGCTGCATCAACATACCATCGCAGTTGCCCACTCCCATCGATACCAAGTATCAATGGTAGCCCAATCGACCCCCTGAGATATCTCATCACGCGGTCGAGCTTCTTCCAGTCGTCTGTGTCTGGGTCTTTCACCCGGGTGCACAGGAATGCAACTGGGAGCTGTATGTCCGGGCGGGCCCGCTTTGCCAGAAACAGCAATTTTGCAGTGTTGGTGTGAAATGCCACCCGATCCTTCTCACTGAGCTTAACTGGATTATCCTCATTCATCTCAAACAGGTGCTGCCCAGCTGGGGTCACAGCCTCTCCGCTATTTCTCATATTCTCGGGCAGCTCCCTCAGCATGTTGTCGATGTAATCATGCATGGTGAATTTGACCTTCCCTGCTGTCGAAAAATCAATTGTCATCCCGAGATAATCGTGGACTTTGCCCCTCGTTACTACCAGGGGTGCCTCCTTTCCATAGGTGCTATTGATCCGATTCAGTGTCTCGGTGACGGCTTTTGGGTCATGATGGGACACCTTTATATCATCCACATGCCACAGTATTGTGCATTGACTACCGTCGATATCCTTGTTCATCACACACCAGTCGTATGGATTCACTTTGAACCCCCATTTGGTGAGGTCAGCACTTAGTTTCAACCAGAACAGTAGTGCTGCATTGAGGGTCCCATATATCGCCTTGAGACACTTCACGTAGAGGAACTTCTTCCCATTTGATCCGGTTCTAATGTGTTGCTTGTACCGGTCTGGTGCAATCTCGACTAGGATATCCAGCATCACTCCTTCGAGCTTTAGGTGTGTCTCCCCACTCTTGTCGGCTGTCTGTAGGAAGGCTCCTGGGATATCTGCGGTTGCCACATCCCGTTTTTCATATGCATCAATAATGCATGATAACATGAGGGCCTGTACTGATACGGTTGGGGAAGTGGTGTCTTCCTTATTCATCCAGTTTCTTTGCTTCCTCCCGTCGGCGCATCCCCTTCCTTTTATCTTTCCACATCTCTTCTCCTTCAAGAACATTAAGTATGCTAGGGCTTTTGCCTTTTGCTCTGTTGTCAGTTCTTGTAAGGGAACTGGCTCGACCACCTCCCGGTCGTGTAACTGTTGTAACTCAGTCTTAATCGCTTCTACTCCACGCTGCCCAAACATCTTGATCCCTTGCTTCATCCCATACTGGGTCAGCAGAATGGAATGGACCTGCTGGTAGAATGCATTTTCATCCTTATTGAACTCGATGAGGGCATCCAGTGCCATGGCATGTTGTCTCATGGCTTGGCTCCCCTTCCTTTGGTTCCCACTTGAAATGTTGAGGAATCCGACTGTCTTGAGATGATCATAGTTGCGATCCCGGGACGGCCTCAGTCCCGGCCTCCTCGCATCAGTCATTTCCTCATCATTGTCTTGGTCTGTTTCTATATCACCTGTCTCAGTGGGATGTTGACTCTCTTCATCACTGGTTTCCTCGTCGGAGGAGAGCGAGTCGGCCTCACTGTCCGCACTCCCTGTGGACCCAGTGTCCTCATAGTCCGAGTCATCGTCGTCCGACATCTCATTCCTATCATGTGGTGCTCCCGTGCTAACTGGTGGTTGATGTGTGGTGTTACTGTCAGTGACGTCATCCTCCTGCATTAGTTCCCCTGTACGGTCGCGGAACTCTATCCCTTCCGGATAGTTTCTAGCCAGTTCATGCACCCGATCAATGACTTCATCCGGCATTGGCAGAGGTGTGCATCGGTTCCGGTTGAGCACTCGCCCAGTCTTCAGGCTGTAGAACCAGTGTCCTCCCTGTGTGTTTCCGGTGGGTCTCAGTGCTAGGGCTCCAACAGTACGTGGATGGTGTGTGGTATTATCAGTCGCTTCATGTGTTTGTACATACTCTCCGAACCGCAGTTTCATATGCTTACTGTAGTCTATAGTTAGGCCGGTGATGATTTCCCTGGGGCTCATGGTCGCTGATATCCCCGATGGTTTTGGTATGCAGTTCCACCAGAACACCTGACTTGCGACTAATTCTATGGTCATCCTTCCGGGCAGTTTCTTGTAGGGCAATGTGCATTGAACTCCCCTAACCCGCTCCTTAATGGTACGGATGTATCGTTCTATCTCAGGCACATGTTCATCCTGGGACACAAAATTCAGTGTTATCCCAGTACTGGCTATATGCGCTGCAATTGGCTCGAATTGGGTATCCATGTTCATAGTGCTGATACTGAAGCCACGCTTAGAGTATAGTCTCTGTAGGTCTGTCACACACTCCTGCAGTGTCTCAGCCTTCGCGTTTAGTATCATTGCCGCAGTTCCAAACTGTATGTGCCTTGATATAGTGATGAAGAACCGTATTCCATTGACATACATTATATCGGCCCCCAGCTCCACTCGCGAGTACTTGCTCATGATTTTGTCTGGTAGTATTGACACCGCAACCCGTACGTGTTGTTCTGGTCGGCGCACCGTCTTCCCTTTTAGTGCAACAACGGACGGCCCTGAGATCTCTTCGGCTATCTTTACATCTTCCCGTGTAACTGTACAGTTCGGTATTAGGTTGTTGTCAATCAGCCGGATCAGCTCCTTTGTCGTTATATTGAGTATATCCTGCATCTTCCGCGCTTTGTTGGCACGACGTTGGTCCAGGGCTGAGTACTGGGCCCTGTTTGCTGTTACTGTGTCGACCGCAGTGTTGATGAAAAGAGCTGAATGTTCTCCCAAGGGTGTGAAGTATAAGCCCGTTTTGGATTCCCGGAACTCACGATACTTTGTTCCCCTTTGGTCGTACATTCTGAAGGTGTTATCCAAACTGCTGTCATAAGTAACTCTGTGGTGCTTCTTTATACGCGATAGCGACAGTATATTTGCTATTCCTTCCTTGTGGAACCACACTGTTCCCACTCCTGGGAAGTCGCCGACCATGTTTGTCGTTGTCATTCCAGCATTGCAGTAGATATGCATGGTGTTGTCGATTCGCCGTATGTTTTGGAGCAGGGATGGGTTGCATATAACATTTACAGTCGATTGGTTATCCAGGAGCAACCAATTCGGATTAACTCTTCCTTTTGCCTGGCTAAGGATTGTGTTATAGTTCACATCCGGGGCTCGCCGTATTCCTCTCGTGCAGTACATTAGTCCGTAGCTGGGTTCATCGTTAAACAAATCAACTGCTTCAGTGTAGTTGATATTGCATGTTCCGGATGGATCTTTTGCGGCGTCTTCGCTGTTGCGGTCCTCTCCCTCGGTTTGTTCAGGGTTATTGGTGTCGGCCGCTCGTTGCTTGTATGCAGCAACGTCCGCAGGTTTACACACATTATCGTAGGAGAAGTGCCCCATCTTCCCGCATCTGTAGCATTTGATGGAGCTCCGGTCACGCCGGGGTTGTCCCCCGCTTTGCAGGAACATGATTCCATCGTTTCCGGATCGACGAGTTGCGCCGTTGCGGCTGGTGTTTTGCTTGTAATTGACCAGTATGTTTTGTGCCTCTGTTAGGGTCTCGGGGTAGTTATTCTGTCCCATTAGGAAATCATTTTCCAGCTTCTCCTTGATTCCGGAGTATCTGCTGTGGTTGGCGTTTTCGATATAGATCGTTGCTTGTGTTAGCTCGGCGGTCTTCTTGTCGATGATAGCCTTCAGTGGTGGATCTTGTAGTATGGATTTATTGCCACCGTAGTCCCTTTCCAGGATGTAATCCCGTACGCCGTCTACTTTTAGGTTCCCTCCGCATGCGATTGAGGCTGTAACGAGGTTTTCAAATTGTTCAAACCATTCAATGTTGGTCGTCATGTCTCCCTGTGTTGTTTTGTACAGGTTCATCGTTGCTCTTATTGCTGCAAGCGGTGGATACTGTTGTGCCTCATATTTGTAGCATATCTTTCTTATTATACTGAGTAGTCCAATGGCATTGGCTTTCTCGTGGACATCGTTGTATCCTGGGTCAGCACTCAGCTTTTGAATCATTGCTTCAGTGCACTGCCCACGGATCGTGCTGTACATCTTTCTGATGTCATCGTCGTATCTTAACAGCTTGATGGTGTGGCGTTTAGCCAACTCTTTGATGACTGTTAGTTGGATCTCATCTAGAGCTGTTATTTTCTCCTTATCCAGTCCCGCGGTTGGACTATTCTCCTCCATTATGCCGCGTACACACTCTATGTTATCAATAGCTCGTCGGACCTCTGCCCCATATGTTGTTCCGGCATACTCCACGAGTTCTTTCTTGGTTCTCATGTATTGGGAAGCTTACATTGTTCCCACGTCAAAGATGTGTCCTTTCAGTTCATCACATCTTCCTTTGAACGAGTGGTGTGATAACGTTCTGTTATATTGTTTGTTTCCTTTCTTCTTATTGTATCGGGATCGTCCCCGTGTCCACGGAGTCACGTTCTCCGGTTGCTTTCGGTTATCTGCTGAGTCTCCTTCAGCTGGTCTACTGTCGACCATAGTGTAATAATGTGAGCTACACTGTTCCTCGTGTATCTGCTCTTCCCTCTTGCTGCTGCTGATTCTTTATAGTTTTATGTTGAGTTCATGTACATTACGTCATCCAGACAGTTAAGTACAGAAAGTCTAAAAGGGTTCTCTTCCACTGTTGACTAGATAAAACTATAAAGAA